AATTCCAGTGAAATATATTTATGTTTGTGGTTGTAATGTGACAAAATATGGAAAAGTTCAAGGGGTATGAATACTTTTGCAAACCACTGTACTACTAATATAAACTTATTAAAGCTTGTCCTCTCTTAAACATGTATCTTTAAAACAAATTCTGTATATAATCTCCTGAGACCTGTGTAAGAAATGTATTGATTTATATTGAGTCTTAAATGCATGTTATAGACATACTTGAGATGATTAGAATATTTTACGKTCAATGTGCAATCAGATTATTTTTATGTTGTGGTTAAGCTAAAGTAAGAACAGTGAGTTCTGAGGGATAATCTAGTGACACGCCTCACACTGATACAACACAATCAGACACATGATGTTCCTACATCGGAGATTTCCAGACTTCTTGTTTGAGATCTGGGTCGCCCGATAGTTGAGGTCATGTCCCCTATATCAACCACTGCCTTCCTCTCACAACTCTTTATGATATTATCTTGTTTATACGGTCAGTGTTATTGTGCTATTTTGTTGTCTTGTTTGCATTTTACTTCCAATAGTCTGAATTAAACAAATAGAAAAACTGAGTGGAGCCTCTAACCTGCGATGGAAGTGTAAAGCTCTTTCCACAGGCTCCTGTTGTCTCCCAGCCAGTGACCAGAATACAACCCCTGACTGGGGAAGGTGGAGCGGGAGATCACAAAAGGTCTTTTTGCCAAAATCCGCTTCAGAGCACTAAATAAAAGGGAACAAATAGGAGAAAACAGCAAAAACAATTTAAGGAAGAAATAAAAACAACAAAACAGGAACTGTCTTTTAGTGCGTCTCATGTATTTTCTGTTGTGTCAGCGCATTAAAGGTCCAGACCTTGCAGTGGCTTTAGCTTCCATCAGTCCATAAAGATTATGGATATTATAATGTGTGGAGAGTTTCTGCTGTGCAGASGCACACACCGTTTTAGATCTCAGCAAACCTCCCAGCACGCCTGGAACACAAGAGCACATCCTGGCAGTCAGAATGAAATGGTTGTAYGTTGTTGTTGTTGTTGTTGTGTGTGTGTGTTATTTGTTGTCTTCAACCTGGAGTGTAAGGTGGATTTTCAAGACTATTTGATGGACAGCCATTTATTGATCCATCCAGGAAGTTTGATGGCTCATTCATGTCCTAAAAATAAATTAAACAGTTAACAGTGAGCGGTACACAGAGAAGGCTTTGAACTCGCATCGATTTAAGCTCTTTACGTACAATCCATAATCCATCAAATGGGATTTTCTCGTGGAACCGGCGCAGGTTTTCATACCACCATTCGTGTGTAACTTCATTTGAGAAATCAGGAAATACTGTCAGACCAGGCCAAACCTAATGGAAGAGTGAAAAAAAACATTTAAGAAGGAGTTTAACATTTAGTTAGAAGCTTAGGGTTACGTCTTATCTTATCGACTGTATCGACAGTTTATTGCATTTTATGATAGATAAATAATTACACCAACAGGGTTGAGTCTGAAATCTCTTCCAGCTAATCTATCTCACCTTCCCAATTAGTGGGTTTCCCTGAGAGTCTTTGATAAAAACTCCTCTCTTCAGTCCCTCGTCGAAGGGCCAGTATGAGCCCTTGGGTTGTGAGCTGCTGATAGCCGAGTCCTGCAGCCGGAGAACGAAGGATCGTTAAGACAAGACACAAAAACACGTRGACAGCAGATAAGAACTTCTAAGTACCACGATTATGACGTAGGTCTGGTTATGAGCGTGCAGGTCTTTTACAACGTCAGGAAGCGTGCCAAAACTTTTAGGATCAAAAGTGAAGTCCTTGGCCTGGTCCATGTAGTCGATGTCATTCCAYTGGACATCCTGAAGTCAAACAAACCCACGGTTATCACAAATATCTGTGATTAAATACACAAAAAGATGAGGACGATTTTGAGTTAAAGATAAATAATAGCATTAAATATGTCAGATGAACTGATGAAATGTTTTAAATCTAAGCAAAAAAAAAACTATATGTGTTGAAATTTATGATAAGCCGATTTTAAAAAAACATAATTAAAAGGGAGATCTGACAAGTGTGATTTATTTAAGAAGGAGGAGCAAACAAGCAAACAAAAAAACAAAAAAAAAATACATTTATTTGACTTAGCTTGTGCTTGATGATCCAACGCAGAAAAAAAAAAAAAATCACCTGAGGTATGCCATTATTCCTCATGTTCTTAACAACTTCCCAGGTAGAATTACTGGAGCCGTATCCCCAGCGACAGAGGTGGAACCCTAAAGCCCAGAAAATGGGCATGAGTGGGTGTCCTGGACACAAAAAAAAAAAGTTGAACAAAAACCTTATTATTTTGTTTTTAAACTATTGCTCCTGGCTTTGGACATGTTTTAAAAATCATATGAATCTTATAAACCTAACTAAGTTGTAATTCAGTRATTTCAGTCATGCTCAGCACTCACACTGACCTACAACATCCACATACTGTTCAACCACTGAAGTGGGATCAGGGCCGAGAAAAACATAAAAGTCAAGGATTCCACCAATAGTCCTCCAGGTGATGGCCGGGCCGGGCTGCAGCACCACATCTGATTAAACAGAAAAGAAAACAAGTTAACACAGTCAACGAGGAAACACGTTTAGCTACAAAACTGAGAGCTGAGGGCTTTAAGCATAAATATGAATTAAATGAACAGTTTTGCATTTTTTTAGAAAGGCAAAACAGGTAAAAGTGAACAAGGATCTATATCAAAGCATATTTTAAATATTCTTTGTGTAAGTTTATGTTTGCTCCTGAAAAAAACAGTATAAAGAAATAGAACTTTACGAGTGCAGCTCCATAAGTTCACCCTTAAACACTCAACTATGATTTCCTAGTTTTGTCTGCAGTAKGTTTTGTACTCCGCCCCATATCCAGACTTAAAGCAGACTGACCCATAGCATTACTGTTCAGCAGGAAGAAGCCGTGTGCATTCCCTCCATCTTCCACTGCGAGGTAAAATGGATGGGACCCATACAGGTTTGTCTTTTCCTRTATGACAGGAATTAAAAAATAAATAAATAAAACACACACTTACATCCCATTTTCTTTAATGACAACTTAAGAACAACTGTAAATATTTCCAGTCAAGCATGAAACTTTAACTGAGGGATATGTAAATAAAACAAATAAGGTGATTTTGCAGCTGTGCTCCATAATAACTATCCATCATTGACATAAACACTCTGACAAGTCCTATGAACTTTTCAGTGATGCTTAACAAAACAGAAACACTGCAAAAACTGTCCATCTTACCAAGTTTTAAAATCTTATATCCAGCCAAAAAGTCTTTT